TACTGTCAGGAATCAATTTCAAATACAATGTTCTCCAACATAATTTTTATTTTATGGGCCAATCTAAAAATTCTCTACTGCTAAAGATGGGGAGAAAAAGTACAATTACTAGACTAATTAATAAATACAATCTTGTTTTCTAGGTAAGCCCATGAGCCAGATACAGCTAAGGGTGTTTTTGTTTGTTTGTTTGTGGAATTTCACTCAATGGGAGCTTACTACCCTTAAAGGCTACATTCAAACATTGTCCCTGTAAGATGTGACAGGTTGCAATTTACAAGAATGAGTGCAATAATACTTCGCACTGTACCTGCTTTTCAGAATCTTGTCCCTCCTCCATTGAAAGGTAAATTCTATAGTCCTTCATCTTGAACTTTGATTCAGCAGAAATGACCTCTGAGCCAAGGTTTCCCCTCCCCGGCCTTTTCCTGTCATGGAGCCAGCCACCAAACTGTAGGGAATTCAGAACACATGAAGAAATGCAAAGTCTCAGGGTCCAGCCCCCTGCTAACTACCAGTACACAGTCAGCACCAACTTAACATCCAAGAGAGTGAGAAGTCTTAGACATGAGTTCTCTGGGCTAAGGGTGTGGCTAACCTGGTAGAGTACCTGACTTATAAGTGCTAAGGCCCTGAGCTCAAAGCCCAGGACTGCCAGAACTGGGTCCTTGGAGTAAAGGTAGATTACCCTGGCAATGCCACACTGACCAGCTTTGCTTCCTGAGCCTTGTCCATGTTCAGACTTATAAACAAAATAAATAATCTTTGCTCAAAGTCACTAATTTGGGGGCCATTTGTTGTATAACAGTAAATAATGAAAATGGGGGTATACCTGTACTCCCAAAGATTCCTTTGCACATCTCCCCTTCTTTACTCACCTAGTTTGTACAAGACCCTGCATTCAGTTGCCAGCACCACAAAGTAATAATAACAGCAACAATAAATGCCTAAGACTTTCTCCAAAAGCAGAAAAGGGGAAATTCAAACAAAGAAAAAAATAAATTTCTTTTTAGTTTGCTCTGTGCATTTAAGATGTCATTATCAAATTTCCCTTTCAGAGTTCATTTCTGGGCAGAATAGTTGTTAGAAACTTCCCTATTACAGCTGTCACAAAGCACACCTTCTCTAATGGTATTTCCCAAAGGTAAGGAAGTGCCTGGTTCACTCTGCATTCTTGCTTTCCTTTATAAACATTACAAAGTAAAGTTTATGCTGTTGGTTGGACACTGGAAGCCTAGAAGGACACACAAAATGAATCTAGCAGTCTTTTCAGGGTCCCTCTTTGTTTGGGGCTCCTATCAGAAAGATGAAGTGAGAGCCATGCCTTCCGTCCAGAAGAGCAGCTGCTAAGGTCTTTGGTTGTCCTTTCTTTTCACCTTGATTCATGGAACCAGTGCAACACATATCAAGGCCTGGGTAAATATTTGTGAAGTGCATGAACTTTGTTCTCTGCCCTTCAATTCTCTTAGGAAATCAACTTGGGACTTGAAAGAAGTTCAACAATTCATTCTCCAAAACTGGTTCCGTTCTGGAGCCCATTGCAAAATGAGTAGCAAGGCCACAAGAGGAAAAGGTGATGTGCAAATTTCACAGAGTCTGGTAGAAAGTGATTATAGTTCAGTGAGGAACAACATATAGATTTGTACCCAGTCATTACCACTCCGTGAAGCAGTTGAACGTTTGCAGACTGATTTTTCTAAGGATGTTTGTCTTACAGCCAGCTACCCACATGACCTGCCCTTGCTATGGCCTTCTAACCAGTCCCATCTCCATTATTTGCTGGCCAGTTTTTGTTCTGCTGACTCCACTCTCTTCTTGCCTATCCCCTCTCCCTCCTTCCCTCTTCTCCTGGCCCAATGTCCTCTCTCACATTTCTTCAGGAGTGATCATAATGAGGATCCTTGTAGAATCCTGAAAGAAGAGTATGAACAAGGATGTGGGCCAGACCCTGAGACCTGTAGCCACTTTAGGGCTAAGGGAACTCAAGTTGGTAGTGTCTGTGCTAATGATCCAGGAATTGATCAACTTCTCTCTAGGGGAGGAAGGACAGAAGCTTCCAGATGAATTGACATCTCTCTGGGCTGTGGCACAGAAGCTAGAAAGTTTTCCTAACAGCTATCTGATTCAGGTTTGATTTGGCAGGTCAGTTAACTTCTGCTTCCTGACTTCCTCAGCTGAAAAAGGAAGACTTCACTTCCTAGTTAGCACAATGCTGACAAGCAGGGGACAGCAGAGTCAATGGTTCACAGATCGGTTCCCACCAGTGACAGGCCACCGGTATAGACACCTTCCCTAACAATGTGAAAGTCTTCTCTGTACCCAGTTTCCTCTTTGGAATACAAAGATAGTAAGAGGCCCAATCTCACAGCTGATGGGAGAATTAAATGAGATGATCCTATCCGCCAAAGTATTCGGTCCCCATAATGAATGTAGATTGTTTCACTGACTCTTGGCCGTATCATTTAATCCGTGTCACCAATCCATGACCCAAAAAAGCTGGAATTACCAGATGGTCCTAGAATGAGAGATAAACACTAGCTCATTTAACAGACAAGAAAGATAAAATGTCAGTGGCAAGGCTGGATGTCCTACCCAGGGCTACTGGATTCATTAGTGAGAGGAGTTACAGCTCTGGTCTTCTGATGGTAAGGTCAGGGGCAAATCTCCATTTTCATTCCTTTGAACACTGTGTCGGTATTTTTATCCCCAGATAACCCTTTCTTGTTCTAGTTTTAACCGGAAGACCAGTTCCTACTATTATCTGCATGCAAGCTGGCTAAGTTTCCTGCTGCTCCCACAAAACCTGCAGATAACCTCCTTTCTCCAAGTCCCGGCAACCCCACCCCCACCCCGCAAAAAAGAAAAAGAAAAAAAGCGAAACAGGAAAGGTAGCCGCTTTCTCTGAGGCAGCCACTAATGGGGACAGCAGGTGGGGCGGGGAGGGTGCTGAGGAGTTGCAGCTGCTGGGAAAGGTTGCCCTAGTAACCGCGCGGGTTCCATTCAGGAAGCCAGCAACTCCAAGATGCGAAATGATCTCCTTCAGGCGGCTCCTCGCAAGCACAAAAGAGCCCCCAGAAGAGCCCTGGGGTGGCGGAGGAGAAAGGGAGGTGCACGCTGGGAGAGGAGGGAGAGGAGGGGGGAGGGGGCAGGCTGTCAGTTACAGCCTTCCACCTTTCAGAGAAGAAAAGGAAGGAAAGAGAATAGCTCTTTGGGTCGTTAAGCCTGTGCGAACCATAAAAAAAAAATACCCCACTCTTTTAACATGAGTCCTTTTGTGGGAACAGAGAGAAACAGCCCCCCCCCAGCCCCCGTCCCAGCATTCACCAGCCTTCTGAAACAATATGCCAGCAGACAGGGGGAGAAACCTGAAACTTTGGACCATTTATGGGAGCTCTACACTCTACTTGCACACTCCTTTACAACGACTGGAGGTGATCAAAAACACCGTTTGCTCCCAATTTATTGGAAACTTTTTTTTTTTTTTTTTTGCTTCACAGCTTGAGTTGCTTAAATGCTTCAGGTTCCCTCTCCCCCAGTCACCCCAAGACACTTGCTGAATGGCCAGGCCTCAATTATGCTCCCTCAACACTGTGACCCTGCATGGCTTCCTGCTATTCATATGTGTTACTTCCCCTTTGTGGTAATGGCTTGTGGCATTTGGCCAGAAAACATTATTAATTTCAGAAGTGGACTGACAAACAACCAACCCACAGCGAGCTCTGGGAGGAAGTGTAGAGGAGGCCAGCTGTTCCCCTGAGCCAGAGCAGTAGGAACTCAATGTATGCAGGTTGGAGGGGGAAAAAAAAAGCAAAAAAAGATAATCCACAAAGAGAAATGCACTAAAATTACCCACAGTCCATGTGTGTGCATATATATTATATATATATATATATATATATATATATATATATGAAAAAAGAAATCAAAGAGAGGGGGGAAAGGCACCCAGCTACTTGAGCTGCAGCTGGACAGGAAATTGCTAAGGCTGCTTTTACAAATCCCTACTTTGAACAGGCAGTTTAGGGAATGCCAGGAGCGGAAACTGTTCAGAACCGGATTAACAGGAGCCAAGTTGAAGTGCAACCCCATTTCTCCTGTGTTTCTGCTGACTTGGGAAACCCAACTACCAAGACTAATTTTGGTTATTTGGCAGTTAATTTGCTTTTAATTGCAATTAACTTGCTTTTATACTGAAGCTGCTTTGAAAAAAAATCATTTTATGTAATCGCTATACTGTGAAGTGACTTGCCTCATAAATTGTACTAAGTAGTTGAATGGCTATTTCCCAATGTGTCTGATGGGTGAAAACCTTTCTCCTCAGAGAATAAGTTCATGTCCAGAACCCCAATTTTGTGTTCTATCACTTTTGATCCTATATACCTAATTTTACTTTTTATACTCAGGATATGAGGAAAATGGCATGTTAAAAAGCCTTTAGCTTACAAGAAAATCACAATTATCTCTACCTGAGATTCATTAAGGGCTCCTGATCTGCATTCTCTACTAGTCAAAACACAAAAACACACTAGACCAAAGATGGCTAAGTGTCATCTCCATCGCCAATTTGTAAATTCTAAGGCTACCTGCTCATGCTTGGGAAAGCTCACATGCCAGACACAAAACAGGAAAAGGGACAGGGCATTCAGATTTGTCATCCCAACACCCATGAGTAACATGCAGAATTGTTCCAACAGTTCATGACTGGAAAAAATGATTATTCCCACTGCCTCCCTGGGTTATCAGGCACTTACTGAAGACGATCTTGAAGTGAAGGGCAGAGAGGTGAACATGTGGCTATCACCTTGTTATCTGGCAGTTTAAAAAATAGCTATCTTGAATATGCAAATCTTATACCTCAGCAAAGTATATACTATGGGGAGGGGGTGAAATACATTAAATAAGCCCCATCCACACACCTAGAAAGTATTGTGTATACAGGATTGTTCATCCATCCTCATGTGGGTATAACTAAGGAGATCTTTTTAAAAGATAGTACACACTTAATAGCCAAAATAGTTATTTATTAATAATTTAAGGTTTTACATTCTCATAATAAATTCCAGCTCAAAACTTTACACCACGAACATATGGAGCAACTCTCTTATTCACAATCAGATGCATTCCACCTAGCAAATGGATACCCATGCTCTCAACACACACTTCCAGTTTTATACAAATTCTTTCAAAGAAGGAAAGGAACCAACCCAAAGTATTGCATTTGAGATGACACTCCCTGAAGAATTTTTGTACAGAGGTAATATACTGTTTAGCACAGCTGAAGTTAAAAAAAAAAAGTGAGCCCATGATTTTGGTGTCTTTCCCAGATAACCCCTTTTGATTGAGACAACACAAGTCAGAGTATATTACAAAGGTAAGGCATAGTCAAACTACATTAAGAGAAAAAAAAAAAATCACAATGATCAGACTTCATATATATGAAAAGACTTTAGACTGCACCATAACAAGGTCTTAGTGATAATAGTGTCCATGAAAATGTCCTCAGAACTGGTATAAGTCGTGCATGCTTGCAAGTAACCCTTTGGATTAGAAAAGAGCCAAAAGAAAATTACTTTTCTTCCCCTTCTTTTTGTTTTAACATGTGGCATACTGCTCTTTCTCCCTTTGGATTTCTTTTAACTCTATCAAAGAAAAAACAAAACCCCTACAATCCAAACAAATACTGCCAAGTGATTGAAGATCAAATATTTACAATAATCAAATGGAGTATCAGTTTTTCCTTTCCAAACTGATACTACAAATACAGAGCTGAAATCTCTCTTTGGCTCCACTATATGCAAAGTTGAATCAGTCTTCACTGAAGACAAAATAGTTAATTCCAGATGCAAAAGGAAAACAGCCATACAAGGCCCTAAAGAACACATGCCTCTAACCCTACCTACCCCATTTGGTCCTACCCTATGTACCTGGAAGTCCTGAATTCCAGTCCCAGCATGGGGTAGGCTGTACACATGGGTGCAGTTACACATGGGTGCAGAGCAAACCTACTGTCTGTATCCAGGCAGCATGTCCTGTTCTTCCATAGAGAATGGAGCAAATCTCTCTTTGTAAATAACCAATTCCACAACTTGGTAACCCTGTCTAATACAGACAGCTGGTGACATTTTGACACCTAGGGCCACACACAAAGAAAGCAGCCCAGCTAGTGCTGCCAAGAGAAACTGCTGAAGGAATTGGAAACTCCCAGCAAGGACAGGTGTGGTGCCTTTCACGTGGACTGCAGGGAGTCCACCTGGTACACATTCTGGTTGGAAGGGGTGGTGAAATAGAGCTGCTGTGCTGGCACCCGGTTGTCACAGGGGCTGCTGAGTCCCAGGGTCCTCTCGAAGTCTAGCAACTGGCCCATGAAGTTGAAGTTAGGGGAGATGTTGGATTTCTTCATCTTGACAATGTCATAAGCATCATTCATGGACAGATTGAGCTTCTGCATAAGATAAGCCACTGTCACCGTGACAGAGCGGCTGATGCCGGCCAGGCAATGTACCAAGACACCACAGTTCTTGCCCCGGGCTTCATCTGTAAACAACAAAAAAAAGCAAGATTTCACTAGACTGAAAACTTCATGAGCAGACTAAAATCTGAATTTAAAAAAGGGGGTCTTGAAGGCAGCAGAAAAATATATTCATGATAAATGACAATGACATATTTCAGATATTTTTCTGAAAAGGGAGCTTTTGTATTAAGCCTTTACCAACAACAACAAAAAAGAAAAATTCTTAAAAGTGTGCATTCTTTGCTTCAGCCTATGAATACCAGAAAGCCTGCAATATGGCAGGGAATGCATTTTATACACACAAGCAGATTGCAAGGGTCTATTAAATTATTCTCCAACTGTTGTGCAGCTAACAATGGAGGTATTCAGGCATTTTAAAAGAGAGAGGGAAGTCACAGGGGACAGCCCATTAGGAGGAACAGGATGTCGACATGGCCTGAAAATGAGTTCCTTTGTAATAGGAAATGCACTACAATGCCTGGAGATTCACTTCTCGCAGGCTCCCAGCCCACACTTCTTCCTGCTGTGATCAGGTTACCTACAGTCTCTGTTACCAGTATCACACTATCATTCCGACTGGATAACATTTAGCATTCATGCAGCTTTCCAACTAACTTGGGTGTCCTAAAATAACTTTACATCATTTAAAATAATAAATCAATTATAATGCTCTGATTACTGTTTGCAAGGCCACCTCCAATTGACTGGAGGAAAAAAATCTGCTCGTGCACTCCTGCACTCTTTTCAAATGACTGAATTTGCAGGAGGCTGAAACCTTGTTTCAAATACACCTGTGGCCTCCAGCTACATCAAAAGAAAGCATATCCGAATTTAGGGGCCTTCCAAGAAACATTAGAGATCTGCTGTATTAACAAAATTAGCAGGCAACTGGAATGATCAACAGTTGAAACACTGAATAGCTAAGTGTTTTGCATTTAAAAGTCAAAGCAAAGCCTGTTAAGTCTCACCTATGAAAGAAATGGCCTCAGGGAAAAACTGGGACAAGTTTTGGCTCCAGTGATCCGAGATCGGAATTTGCTTGTATTTGAACTCTCCTGCGTTCTCAAAGAGATTGGGCAAATTGGGGGTGACATTCAAGATGTACTTGATGCCGAACTCCTCCAACACGTCCAAGTTGGTAGAGTCCTTGGCACAACCCAAGTACAAGAAGGGCAGGATCTCCACGGGGAAGGAAGGCTGGCTGTTGGACAGCGGGCTGCCATCCGAGTCCGTTGCACTATTGGGGTCTCGGTCAAGGTCAGACTCGATGTCTGAGGAGGAGTCGGAGCTGATCCGCAGGCCCCCAAGCCCCAACACTGGCAATGGAGGCGAGCTACTGCTACAGGAGCCGTCTAGATTGGTCTCGCAGTGCAGGGCAAACTCGGCTTGGAACTTATTGAAGCCACCTGCCAGAACAAGAAAAGCAATCTTGTAACCCGAGCAGCCGTAGTAATTTTCACAGCTTGTGAGAACCGCAGCTGGGAGCAGAAAACAACCAAGACCCTCCCCGCCCCCCCCCCCCACACACACGGATCCCCTGGACATAATCAAATAAAGGAGAAATACAACTGAACGTGCACATGTGGAAATGTAACAAATGGGCCGCTTAAGTCTTTTTTTTTAATCCAGAAATACACAAAATGGCAACTTTTCTGAATATTGGGGGAGGGGGACCTAGCAAGTGCTCATCTATACCACCCCCCACATACACACAGTATCTTTCACTCTGCACATACTGAGTTAAAAACTGAACTAGAGAGAGAGGGAGGATATTCCGGGTTTGAAAACGCACGATTCGAGATAGACAAACCAGGGGCGCTGAACGCGGGCGGATACCACGCGGGCCCAGTCCTCCCGAGTGGAAACCTCCGGCTACCCGGGCGGCCACAAGCCGTTGGCTACTTAGAAGCGGCACCGCAAAAAGCAAAGTAAATAAACCAATCATTTACAAGCCCCCAGGCCAGCCCGGCGCGCGTTACCTTCCAGATAGAATGCCCGGCAGCCCTCGTCCTTGAGCTTCTTGAGCAGCAGCCCGAGCACCGACTCGCCGCTCGTGTTTTCGTTCCAGTCGCTGCTGCTCTCGTCGTACAGCACCACCGTGTCGGTGCCGCAGCGCCGGGTAAAGCGGTCCCGGTCCTCGCCGCGCGTGAAGAGCGCGCGCACCGGCAGGTTACCCTTCTGCAGGCGCCGCAGCATGATGCCCGGGATGGCCACGTTGATGGCCGACTCGATGTGCGACGACTCGTACAGTTCCTGTGGTCGGCAGTCCATCAGCAGCAGCCGCTCGTTGCCCAGTTCCAGCTGCTCGTTGAGCCACGCCACGGTCTTGCTGATCGCCATTTCCGACGCGAAGGGCACGGGTCTGAGCGTATCTATCATGGGGGTCGAGGCTGCGGAACGAAGGGCCGATTGCCTACCAGACGCCCCTCCGGGCAGGCATAGACTGAGCGCGCTGCTGCACCGAGCCGCCGCTCTCCGAGCGGGATTTAATAGCGCCTGGCCTTTCCCAAGCGGAGGCTAAGCGGTTGGGGAAGGCGAGACACCCGTGAAGCCGTCGGTCCCAATGCGCCCGGCTGCAGCCGTTCGCTCTTTGGAGTCAATGAATGTGTCTCAATGAAGCTGCCCAGTTTTGTTCCTCCCCCAGTGAATGAAATCCAATTAATTCGGACTCTAGGCAAGGGGGGGAAAGGAAAAAAAAAAAAACCAACCCACAAAAACCCAAGCGGCTCTTAATCCCCTCCCTCCAAGGTTGCACCTCAAATCTACCCTGCTGTCTTTTCTCCCCGGATTATTCAAGCCTGGATTTGTTCCTAGGACTCAGCCCGAGCACACCCCCAGCGCGAGGCAGCTCCTCAATGGATACAAACAGCGAGCGTCTCAATGGATACATTCTCTCGGCCAGCCAATGAGCGCGCCGCGGAAGGGGCTGTTGCCGTGGGGACGGGCCGGCTGGAACAGGTTGTGTTGATGAATTGTTAATGAGTTTGTCATTCACAAAAACGGAAAGGAATTTCCGCTCCGGATAAGCCCCAGTGCAAACAAGCTGCAACAGCGGGCTCGGCGGGAGGAAGGAGAAAGAAGAGGAGGCGGTGGTGGAGGAGGAGCAGGGCACAAAACCCCGGGCACTTCAGTGTCTCATGTTTCCTTCTGTTGAGAGTTCACACTTCGCGTCGGAACTTTTGCGCACAAATGGAGCAATTAGCATGCACAAAAGCCCTCGTTCGCGACGCTTGTGCTCTCAAGCTAGCTTTAGGAAAACGTGTTCTTTTTCCCTTTTTTATTCCCTTCAAACTCACTTGGATCCAATTCGCCTTCACCCCTCCCCCCCGCCCTCCTTTAGGCAGTGTGTGGCATTTGTTTGCCTGTTTTAAAAGCCCTGCTCTGTTTGCTCTGATGTTCTTTTCACCGAAGCCGTGTTGGGGCTGGGTGAGCTGCCTGGGCTTTAGTGACCCGACGATGTGTTAAATGCTAATCCAACATCTTTCGGAACAAGCCACGATTTTGTTTAAACATTTTTAAAAGCAACCAAAGAAAACTCTGGTTATCCAGAAAAGTAGCCGAGTCTTTTCTGTTTTCTTCAATGGTTAAAAAAAAATGCAGGGAGGAGGGAGGAAGTCGCTGGATAGTTTAATAGTTCTTTATTCCACTAGGGCAGCGTGGGGGAATTAAGTGCCATTGTTCCCGAGGTCTAAGTCACCCCCGCCTCACGGTCACCCACTGCGCACTGGGGGTGGAGGGGGTAGGGAATCGCGCTCCTTAATGACTTCTGAGCAAGGAACAAGTCTGGCCAGGCTTCCTGGACTAGGTGCCCTGGGATGCGACGAGGCAACCCTGGCAGTCCCCACCAGCAGGGAGGATGGAGGAAGTCGCCCGGCCAGGCCTGCACACTGGGGGAGGGGGGGCACCCAGCAGGCTAGCTCGGTGATTGGCTACTGTAGACAGCGAGGCATGTCAGAGGGGAGCCTTCCTATCCGAACCCCACTCTCCCGTCCAGCGCTGGACCCTTCAGAAGCACCACACCGCGCTTGCGCGCTCTGTGTCCGGCCACCCGCCGCCGCTGGCGCGCGGGTCCTTGCATGACCCTGTCTGTGAGCAGCTCTGTGGGTCTGAGCTCCCCTAGGATGGCCCTAAAGGAGGTGGAAGGAAAGCCAGGAGTGTCCGTGGCGACCTTTCTGGCTCACAGATGGGGCGGAGAGTCGCAGAGGGACGCCTGTGTTGCCCTCCTGCGTGGCCCGCGAGTTAACTTGGCAAAGGCGCGGATGGCCGGCGAGCTGCGTCCGGCTCGGTCCCGTGGCGCCGCCGAGCGGGGCCGGGCGCACTGGAAGCCGGATGGAGGTGGGGCCGGGCGGGGGCCGCGGCGGCGGGGAGGCGCTTTCCCGGCGTGCCCGAGCCCTATTGTTACATAAAAGTGCCGAGGCCGGCTCCTCCCGAGCGGAAAACCACCTGTGTGCCCCAGACGGGCGGTGGGGCTGTGGCCGGAAGGCGCGGGTCCTGATGCGGCCTCCCCTCCCTCCCTCGCCCCCCGCCGGCCCCGGCGGAAAAAAGAGGCAGCGCTTTGTCCGGCCGCTGCCCGGCGGGCGGAAGCGGGGACCGTGGCCGGCCGGCCCTGCTTTGCGCCCACTCTGAACACCAGCCCGGGCGCCTAAGGTCCTGGGGGGGGGGGGTCTCTCCTAGCACGACGCCGGGGCTCCAGGGTCCCGCCTGCGGACGCCCCCGCTGCAGTGTGCGTTTTTAGTCACTCGTTTCTTCCCTGTTTTGGAAAATAGGATTAAGGGGGGGCGGGAAAGGCAGATTCGAGACCCAACTTGCCAATTTTGGAGCTCTGCTGCAGGCAGGCAGGCCGTGCCGGGAGGAGCGGGTTCTATCAAAGTGGGGGTTGCTTGGAGCCTCTCAGCGCCGCCTTTTTTTTCGGGGTGTGTGTTTGGGGGGGGGGGGAGAGGGCAGCCCTCAGAACAAAATGCCCATATTTCACTGGATAGTTTCCAGTTCCAACTGGAGGAAGGTTTGAGCTAGAACTGACGCCCCCGAAGCCTTCCCCATCTGTTCACAGACTTTCCCACCCCGAATCGTGGCAGTCGTTGGGACCCCCGCCTGGAAGGAGGGAGCAGAAATGAGGGAAAAAAGCAAATCATCCAACCCAGGTCCTCCAAGAGGAGAGGAAGATACATTGGGTTCTGTATGTCTGTGAAGTGCAGTCATGTCGGTTTTGTGCCCAGGCCTGGCACAAGGCTTGGCGAACCTGGAGATCAAAACATTTAGTTTTGCTCAGCTTTTGACCCCTAGGGCATTGGGGCAGCCCTTCTCATTTTATTAAATGAGTTTTATTAGTATTCCCATGTTATTTTTATTATCCCACTTCATTAAATGGGTTCTGATGGGGGGGAGGGCTAAGAAGAACGTTATAAAGGGTCCCTACTTCCTCCCAGAAGGGAGACTTTGGTTACATTTAACTGTTTAAATGACAGTTCTTGCTGACATTTTAAAAAATCATTTAATATGTAGGGTTGCTGTGTTAAATAAGCTTAGTAAAATGTCCGAACGTTGTTGTGGTATACCATTAGCTGTTGGTAGTAGTATTGTTTTTAATCGTTTGAATTGAGAACTGGCAAAACCGCCAGAGCCTTTTAGTAGAAATATTTATCCCAAAGACACCGTTTAAGGTCTGCCTTACAATCCCACCTGTTCCCCATCTACAGCAAACCCTTTTGACAGGACTATTCTAACAAGACCACCCATTCCAGTTTAGCTGTCGAACAAAGGGGGCACTGATGGATTATGTTAAAAAATTCTATAGCAAAGTTAACAGGTAGACCCAGCTACATCCTCAATTGTCTTCAACTCTATCAAATGTTTACATGCATAATTTTGGCCCCTCTTCAGAAATCCTATGTAAATTATTTCCATTCACAGAGATGAAGGGCTTTGCCAGAGGTCTATTAGCAGCAAAGGTAAGGAGTCCCTGATTCCCAGGCTCACAGGGTGCTTTGGACAGTAGAGTCACCTCCACCAGACTTTTTCCAGCCTTAGATTACTCTGTTGTATTCACCCTACAGACTTCAGAAATAGGAAGGGGAAGCATCTTTGCTTGCTCCATTTACAAACCATTGCTTTTCTGTTGCACACGGCTCTTCATTAGTCAACCATTCACAAGAAGAAGCATTTTTTTTCTTTCCTTAGAATGTGTCCTAGATTCTTATCCTCTGAACTATGATTACTTATCTAGTAGCACATGGGCCACAGTTGAAATTGTACCGGGCCACTCACCAGTCCTGTGTTAGAGAGAACTTGTTGGGCCTCATTCATGTAATCATAGTCTAAGTTACAGGAAATCCACAGAAAAGAAGGGTTGGCCTTCCTGAACCTTACATTCATATAAGGACAGACAGTAAACAAAAAGATTTCTGTTGGAAGCTGTTCGGCTATGGAGAAAAATGAAAGCAAGAAAGAGAATCAAGTGTTATGTAAAATTAGGAAGATCTATATCCCTCAAAGGCCAAACTGATACTCTAAAAAGCATATGGTTTGCTGGGCACTGGTGGCTCATGCCTATAATTCTAGCTAGTCAAGAGGCTGAGATCTGAGGGTTGTAGTTCAAAGCCAGCCAGGGCAGGAAAGTTCTTGAAACTCTTAACTCCAATAAACCACCAGAAAACCGAAGTGGCACTGTGGCTCAAGTGGTAGAACACTTTGCCTTGAGCTGAAGAGCTGAGGGACAGCCCCCAGCCCCTGAGTTCAAGCACCATGACCCACAAAAAAAAAAGTATAGGGTTCCAAGTGGGTGTTCAAAAGATGATCAACACAAAAAACACTGCTTCAGTCTTGTATACTGCTGACTTGATGCGGTGATCCTGCCTGCAGTGTCACTCTCCTGGCACTCCAAGACAGGCTCTCAGGAAAAGCTTTCTCAAGAGCTAAGGATCCTAGGATGGGAAGAACTATGGGCTTTCTTATTTTCACAGACTCCAGGTGCTTTCTATGGTATCATTCCTGTGGAGGGTGGTGGTGGTGAGGGGGCTGTGTTGAAGGCTGGAGAACACGGCAGGTCTTCTGAAAGAAGTGCAGAGATGCCTTTGAAGTCCTAGTTTCTCTACCTGTAACACAGGCACCAAGCTCCTACTGTTGAATCCCTCCTGGTAGATTCCCTGGAAATATCCTAAAAGTTGATAGTCTTTCGGTTATAAATTTTCTCTGGGCCAGTGCAGTCCAAATTTGCCAGGTTTCCTGAGTTAAAAGGCCCTTAGGATTTTCACGACCCAAGTGAGTTAGCAAGCCCTTTAATCTTCTTGGAGTAATCTGGCTAAATGTAATGACATTAACACATCATGTGAAAATAGTTACACAGATTTTCAGTGAATAAGGAGAAGGTGTTTTGGAAGGCTTGGCTTAAATATAATCTCTTAATATATTCAAGGTTTACTCTTAGAGTTTCCAGGGAAACTCCAGAAGTGACAGTGACTTTTGGAGTAGATTTAACTATTTGAAAGATACAGTTTGAAATCAAGTCATACACACACACACACACACACACACACACATGTACATATATATTTATTTAGGGGTGCACAAATTTTACCCTAGATTTCCTACCTCAAATAAATAGCAAGAAGTAACGTCTGAACAGCAGTAACTTGACCCAAGAAGCCTGAGGAACCAACCATAAGCTGTACAGACAGAAAGCTAGGGTTTCAAGTAGCTCCCGACTGAGACACCACTCAAGCATCCCCAGAGAACAGCAATCCTGGTTTACAGTCAACTTGCTTCTCCATCAGCTTGCTGCAGGAGCTGAGAAGCTACTAGTCCTTGTTAAGTTAATGATTTCTCTAAACAATGTGGGGGTGAGCAGAAAGGCAGGTTAGGTTAAACTGCAGGGAAGAAGTGACCAGGCTTCCGTCACCCATCCTCCACTGGCACATGGGGGTGGCAAGCCTGTCCCAGCTTTCTTATAAGCAGAAAGACACTTAGCACCTTGTCAAGGTGATGGACTTCAGTGAAAATATAAATGAAGCAAGCTGAAAGGCAGACGTTAGCCAATTTGACTATGCTTTTAGAAGCAGTGGTGACTGTCAT